GGACCGCTGGTGTAATCAACAACAGCAACACTGTGTACTGAAGCAGCTTCCATAAAAATGCCAAAAAGGCAAACTAAGGCTAAACACTCAGTGGTGTCAGTGCTCCTACATCAGGGCTTCAGCCACCAGGCTGATTTGGAGAATTTCATACAACAGCTTTTAGTTTAATTGCAACTTCAAGGGCTTTGGTCAGAGTGAGATGTCTTCTGAGGTTTTCACACAACAACAAGAAAAAACTCTGGGTTGTTCCAACTTTAAACAACCCAACATTTTTCAATTTGTGTTTACAGACTGCACATTTCTGTCTGATGGCTCTGTCAGCCTCTAATGTGGGCGTGCTAATAACACAAATAACAACAACAAAAGCAACATAAGAATGTGAGACTAAAATGAGCTGCAAGGCAAGCAGTTTACCTGCACTGGGTTCAGCTTTACATTTCATCTCCTTCTTTTTGTGTTCATTTTTTAATGTTTTCTGGTGCCATTAAAGGGGAATTATCTGCACTTTGGCCAAACTGTGATCGCCTGAAATCTGAAGAATATTTAAGTGCGACAGAGATTTCTTTTTAATTAGAGTAATTTAAATTCAAGTGGGTCAAACCAGTAAAAGTGTGTAATAACCAACCGTATGCTGTGTGCAACTTGTAGACAGGTTGCTGTTTCCTTCTTTTAAAGGTTTTGAGTTGTTTTTTTGTTTGCTTTGTTGCATAAGTAAGATGTGAAAGTGAAAAAGAAGAAGATTTATATATTTATATACAAGCATGTGATTTAAAGCAAACCCCTCCCAGGTTATAAGTTGTTAGGGGTTTGTTGTCTTTTCTCGTCTTCACTCAATTTGGAGGTTCGCTCTCTCCACTCTACATTTACATCCAAGCGTATAGATGTGACGACTCTGCTTGCAGTGTTCAATGTTTATTTTTCTGAATGCATGGCCATCAGTCAGCACTGATGTATGTGGTCTGCGCTGGAGCCAAGTTCCTTAGTTTAAAGCCAAACATGATACTCGCCAAGCGCAGCTGGGGGAAGGGGAAGAAAAAGAGGGAATGGGGAAGAAGGAGGAGGAGGGGATCTTCTAAAACATTTTCATTTGCAACTCAGAAAAGACAAAGAAAGTAAAAGCAAAGGGAAGTAACAGGGAAGGTGAAGTTAAAAGAAGAGCTTAAGATTAGAGGATAGTTAGAAAGGGAGAACACATATCACCCAAAGGAGAGCGGAAGGAAAACGAGAGATTTTGAGGTCATAAAATAATCAAAGTAGGGACAGTTTACGAGAGAGAGTATCACAGAGTCGAATGGAAGGAAGCAAGGAAAATAACAGATCAGAGATGGCAGAAAGAAGAAATGAAGCATCTAAACAATGACTGGAAAAGAAGAGAGGAGAAAATGGGAAGCTGGGAAAAGTGGAAACAGTTGATTGAAGGAGGAGGCATGAAAAGAAATGACAAGTGTTGAATGTTCTGAAGAGGGGAGGCAGGCTGAATGCGAGAGACAAGCTCAGAGAGGGAGAAAGAACCAAAGTGGTTCAAGAAAAGAAATTTGTTTAACAAAAATCAAAGATGGGAGAGAAAGGGGTGATGAAGAGCAGGAGGAAACTTTAGCTGCATTAACTGAATCTGACAAAGGGAAAAAGGGCAGATTTTAAGTGTGGGAAGCCCTGAAAGAGGAGGAGAGAAAGACAGAAGAGGGAGTGGAGAGGGAACCGAGGGGGAGAAGAGAGGAGGAGAGGCAGAGCTGGAAAACAGTGTGTGACAGAAGAAGAGAGAGCAGATATGAGAAGGAGTGAGGAGACCTGAGAAAAGAACCTAATTCAGCATTGTGTTTCCAGCCAGCCTCTCACACTGCTGTGAAACCCTCTTGAGCTGCGCTGCTGCTGCTGCATGACTGAACGCTATCAGTCCCGAGCAGGCAGTCGACACACACACACACACACACACACACACACACACACACACACAAATGGATATGACTCGTCCGCTGAGGTGGTTTGGTGTGGTGGACTTGGAGTGACAGTTGGGAATAACTGGTTTCTTCGTCCTGTCGGGTAGGTTTAATATGACTTTAAAGATTATATTATATCATGTGGACTTATATTAGTGATAGTTTGTGTTTCTGAGCATTAACGAAGCATTAATGTGAAAGCTGAATGCCTTATTCTTGCAAAATTAGTCCAGGAAAAGTGTCTCTTTTTTTGCCTTTTCTCGTTGTTGATCTCTGGTTAATTTCTACCAGCCGACCTGAAACATTCATTAGAGTTAACATATTTCCATATCTGATATTTGATATCCCAACAAAAAACCTTTGGAATCTGGTCTTTTAAGGGAAATCAGAAACTATTTGTATCAATATTTGTATGAAGATGCAAAATCTTTTTGTGTTTTTGTTTTTTTTCCCACAGTAAGGAAGATTCTCTGCTTGTGTAGCTCCATGTTGCCTGATTAGAGTTTTTTTTAAAGCTAAAACTTGGTAGTTTGAGTGTTTTTCATGATATTTAGAACCAAAGAAAGATTTGTTTTTCATGCTGTTTGTTTTAAGCGTTTTCAAGTGTGGAAAAATACAGTGTAAATTGGGCAGGTGATCATGACTGTGCCTGGTTCCACCCGGCTTAGAGGATAAAAGGTCTCCTTAGAACATACACAGAACAGGGCAGGGATGCAGGTTTTCCAGGTTTAGCAGCCCAGAGTGGCCGGATATTGTTGGTCTCAGTCACAGTATCTTCTGAACTCTGAGTCAGTCTGTGACATCTGCATTAATCCAATGATTTTACAGACTTCTTTCCTCCAGTCTTTGCAAAATTGTCGCCGTGCATTTTTAGATTTTGTGTTTCTTATAAACATCTTTACCGAAAATAAAAAATCTTTCTACACTTTTATTTTAACTGTCAAGGTCAGAGAGGTATTTCTGAAATGTTGATCACCAGATGCACTTTACTGTATACTGACACGGTGTCATCTCAGTTCATCAATTGCTGTAGTTTTGAAGCCACAGGCATCCTTTGGCACTGGTGCCCTGACACACCTGCCGTGAGAATATCCAACCCAGTATCACAGCAAAACATGTAACAGACACTTTGCCATGATATTGAGTTGGGGTTGGGCAACCATATCAGATGGAGAGAGCAGACAGTCCTGCTTAAAGGAATAGTGTAAAAGTCACAAGACTGTCACCCACTGTCGTGCCATCTTTGTATTTTGCACTTCCTCTTTTGCTGTTTACCTGAATTGAGGCCCAAAACTACTTGGTTAGTATTAGGAAATGATTTGGTTTTGTGGTTTACACCCCTTCATAACTTTTGCTTCCTAACCTAAACACTGAAAATGATGCTTAAAGTCACCCAGTGGGATCCTGAAAAGTAAATATCTGGCAAACTGGGAGACCAGTCTCACCAACTGCAACCAGCGGGTCACGGCACCAACATCAAAGGGAACCTTATCACTCCCACTTATCAGTTTTATTGTGCAAATCCATTGTATTATATATCCTCACACTTAACCCACTTCCCCAACTCCTCAATAATATAGATGAAGATCAGCTACTACCAGGGGTTAGTACCTGATCTTCCTTCCCAGGTCATCACTAGCTATTTTATAATCTATTTTTACACATGCTCAAGTAGTGATGCATTAAACTGAGTAGTTAACTTCACTGTTACTCACCCTCCCAAAGCAAAGAGAAGCACATACACGGTGTTTGCAGCCTCCTTCTTTGTTTCTTGATCTTTCTTCAGCCTAGTACTGTAACTGGGTGTTTGTGTGGTCAAATATAGCTACTTACTACTCCTTCTAATACAATATCCTGTTTACTGTGACAATGTATAAGTAATCTGGCAGTAATTCAGTATCCGCTTCATTCTTGAGCATATTTTCAGACAAAGCCTGGCATCTGTTCAAGGTATCAGTGACACAGTTTGTGACCTTACATCTTGCATCAATGATTTTCTTTTTTCAGTTTTAAATTAAAACATCTCCAAATGTTTTCCCCCCTCTGCTCTTTTGTATTCTGTCCCGCCCTGTATCCTCATACTTCTCCTCCTCTCCACCTTTTCCGTTCCTTCAAATACATAAAGGGTGTTTGCTCTCATAGACTTTCAGTTTCTCATGAACCCCCTCAGCGAGTGCAGCTCAAACTGACAAGCTGCCAGAGAAAATATCAACACAACAAGCCGGGTCAGAATCTGCTGCTCGCGTACCCTCACTCCACCCCTTCCTCCCACTCCCTCCCCTCTGTCCTTCTCCTCATTTTATTCTCCTGCACAGTATTTATGTCTCGTTCTTTTCTCTCTCACCATCTATTTCCTGGCTCCTTTGATTTTCGGGGGATTTTCTTAGTCCAAGTCTTCCCTGGTTTTGTTAAGTTCATGTGGTGTGTTGTGTGTGGCTTTGGCTACACGGATCATTAGATAGACGCAGTAGGAGGTCAGTGGTTCCATTGTGGTTGAATTAAATGCTAACACTTGTCACTGAGGAAAATGCGCCTGAGGGGATCAAGAGACACTTAACAATAAAGAAGGTGGTTGGGCTGTCTGTGTCGGTCACTCTTCCACATTTGCTGGTTCCACACTAATTGGCTCAGACTTCTGAACAATGGCAACATTAGTGGTGGGGACGCAGACTAGCATTTGTCTTTATGATTTAATGAAGCATGCAGCTATTTGGTATCGTTGTCGTCACTGTTTTGTTATCAGTCAGATTTACATTGATTGTTGTGTTTGGGGAGACTTTATCTAGCTGGTTTTGAAAGGATGGGTGGCAGAGGGGAGACTGAACGGTGGATTAAGCAGCTGACAGCTGATGAAGTCATTTTCAGCCTGCAAGTCAATTGTGTAGCTGTGCTGTGTTTGTCTCACGCTTTACCAAACGATTGCAGCGATGCATGGTTTAGTTTTGCTTGCTGAAAAGAAAGCAAGGAAGAGGTATGACATGACAACACTAAAACAACAGAAATGACATAATCTGCAGACTTTTTTTTTTAAAGAAATAATGTACATAAAAAATACCTAACCTGAGATAAACAAGTGTAAACTCACAGAGCGAAGAGGATCAGTTTTATATATACACGATTGCAGTCACTTATTTTCTAACCACTCCAGCGCACAGCAGTCTAGGAAAGAAATTAACTGTGTGTGATTGGATCAGATATAAATATAAAAACATACTGGGTTTAATTCTTCCACGCACGTGAGGGGTGAAGGTTGGGATAATTTTTTTGTGATGCATGGGAAAAAGAAGAAGCTACTTAAATTCGGAGTGAGATGCTGATCACGCTCTTTAGTATTTCAAAATTTGACACTGGACTTTTGAGGAACATTTGAAGTTTGTGTGCCATATGTGTGTATGTGTTGGTGTTTACATGTACAAATCTGAGGTAAATGCTGCATGCGTGTGACATGTGTGCAGACGTACAGCTAAAACTGTCTGATCACTCCCCTTTTGCTTTGCCTCTGAACACATTAGTAACACTAACATCATGACATCACCCACCAGATGCTTTTACAGGACCCACGTGAGCACAGACTCACTGAAAGCTTATCTTGACCCATGCTCTGTGACCTCCAGGTTAGGTCCATGATCCCTCTGGAGAAAATGATGAACTGAAAGAAAAATCCACAGCTTGAAGAAATCTATTCCTCCTGCCCCACATGAAAATGTTTTGTTCAGAACATGATCTTTTTATGTGCCAAATGAAAGCCCCACAAAGCTGTTTATTTGCTAGCAAATAAATTAAATGTCAATTGAGGGAAGTAATCCAGAAGAGCAGATGGAAGCACTACACTGAGCCTGCTTAATTACACCACAGTGACATGTTAGATTCTTTCTAGAAACATTTCTGGATGCGATGGACTAGCTTTGGCTAGCAGATCTATGCAAAGCTTCTGTTTTATCTTGTGAAAATTTGTTGGGGTTGATTTGAGATTTGTCATCTGTGAGTAAAAAGGAAAGTGAAAAATAGAGAAAAATGAATGCAATATTTATCCAGCAGGCATGTGTGCATTTAAAGTGTCTAATGTCAGAAGATGTCATTAACCCACAGTTAATCTGTAGCTCCCTTCAGTATTGTAAAAAGAGTTTCAGCTCATTTATTAGCTCTGCGGCTACACTTTATTGCTTTGGTTCCCTCCTGCTGTTCTCAAAATGTTGTTACCGGGTTTAAAACCCAGTATGTTTTTTTATATAAAACCCAATGTACATGCCACGCTCAGTGCCAAACTATGCACCAAATCAAGTGAAATCTTGAGACACACTGAGGTCATTTCATGTCAACTGACCAAATGCTCACAGCCTGACCAGCTCTGATTTCCAGGGTGATGACACACATCTTATTTTAGCTTTCTAATGTTATTAGTTTGCTCACAAAAATATTTTTGTAATGAAGTTAGGGGCATTTCTGAGCCATCTTTTCTGAGCAGCATGTTCTTCCACTGGGCAGTCCCACTGTAAAAAATTCAAAGCCGATATGAGGATGAAGAATCCTGTGCTCAGGAGAAAGTAGAGTTAAGTGAAAAGAAGAGAGGTTTGATCATTCCTCTAACTTCATCACCAAAATATTTTTTATGTCCAAACAGGTAACAGCAGTAAGCTAAAATTTGTTAGTTTTCCTTGACAAGTGCATCATCACCTCGGAAAGTTTTTCAGGGAAGTGAGAGATGGTCAAGCTTTTACTTAAATTTGGTCAGTTGACATGGAATGAGCCACTAGAGAACAACACTATTCTTCTCGTCAGAGTTAGATAACATTTAGTGGTCAGAGATGTGCTAAATTAGAAGCTTGCTGCTCAGCTTTGCATTAACACTGGAAATGAGCAGGTCTGTATAAATACAATGTAACCAACACAGCATCACACATTGGTCATTAACTGTTTTCAGCAGATGTCATCAGCAAATGCAGGATCTGAATGGGACACTCAGGCACACTATAAATCCACTTTCATACCTCCCTGAAGCATACTCTGCATTATCTTGATGTTCGACTCTAATCTATGAACTAAATGTGATAATGTTTTTAATTAGACTTAAAGCAGGTGATTGGGAACATAAGTTCATCAGGA